CTGCTGCTGCTGCTGCTGCTGCTGCTGCTGCTGCTGCTACTACTGTTGTTGCTGCTGCTGCTGCATGAAGCTTTTAGTCGCATATCTCCCGCGCTGTCGCTATAAATTTCTCTCTCCCTCCCTTCCCCCTTACCAGACTAAAAAATCGGAGAAGAATCTGTTCTTTCCCGCGCGCTCGTCTCTCGTGCAGTAGTTCCGAATTAAATATTAAGTACAGCATCATCGGCGGTCTAGGTGCCTGGCCTATCATCTATCGAGACACGTCAACACGCACTACGCTTCAATTAAGGGGCCATAATGTTTGACGAACGCGGCTTCGTACCGCGCTAGCTGCCCATCCAATCATCATTTCGTCGCGATCCAATTTATGAACACGTATACGTCAAAGACGATAACGACGCATGGAGAGGGGTGCGGAGTTATTTATTGTATCGGAAGTACTCTTAGAGCTACGTTATTGATCTGAAATCAGTCATTGGTTATCGCTAAAACCCGATGGTAGTTCTATTGATCACCAGCCATTGATCAAGACGATTCACTATTGCTGCAGGATTGCGCACGAGCCGTCAGATGACAGCTACAAAGATGGCAACCGGTATATACATGCATCTAATATAGACAAGGCGTCAATTATCGTTTTATGTGCATATATTAGACAATCCTTACTCCAGCGTAAAGAAGAACGTCATACTCTTAGTTCGACAACCATTAAATCACCACGATATTCGCGTCTTGGATGAAGTATAAACATATTTGGTACGTATAGACGCACGAAACATCAAATGAGAGGGTATAAATAAACATTTATTGATTTTTCGACGTCCTACATGAAAAGCAATGAAGCCGTATTAGAAATGATAAAGATTCGTGGAGATTTCCGGACCATATCATGCAGGACCGGACAGATTTAGCTGTACAAAGAAACCATAAATCTTGTAAACTGTACATATTTAATGTGTTGTTCTGTCGCAACTTTATTCATATATAGGCACGGTGATTTATTACGAATTTCAATTCAGGTACCAATGAAATGTGACAAAAATTTTTATCACGTGTACGTATGCGCATTTTATGTTACATACCGTACATAAACCATGTTTAGAATTGCACATTCCTTTTCGCTTAAAAGTATACGAGGACAAAGTTCTTTTCGACTATGAGGCTGCGTACAGGGATGCCTCCAGAGATTGCTTGTCACAGGTGCTCCAGTCCCCGACTGATGGGTCGGGGTGGGGGTAAACACACGTAGCGCACGGGGGGGGCGAAATATGCCATTAAAACTCGGGGATCCATTCCTTTTTTTCAAATTTCAAGGTTATTAATGGCAACTTAAGAAAGACTTTAATAGCCTTTCAGAAGGATGTAACTGCTATATCTGTGACTAATTACATGATGTAATAAATAACAACAATATAATATAGTATAGTATAGTATAATATAATAGAATATAAATACAATAGAATCAATCACTATAATAATATAAATATTATATATATATCGATTCCTCGATTTAATGTATAGTTTTGCATGTACAGCGTGCAGGCATGCTGTGTCGGGCAGTGAATTTTGTCGATGTCATCGTTGATCATGCGTGTGTGATATATACATGACACTCCTCAGCATATATAGCTACGATTACTGATCCCAC